GGTCATCTAGAATTTTCCTCCTATATTAGCTGATCAACTTAAGAAACTCAAGCAGTTGAAAGAATTATACGATTTCAGGAATAATCACAGCCAGAGAGGCCAGCACCTGCCATTCGCTCCCCAGCTCTGGCGCCGACGCTTCCCTGGAGCCAGACGCCTCACATGGGCTTCGCTCACCGACAGGCCACTTCCGCTCACACCTGCCCAGATCCCAGACCCTCGTGGCTTCCAGCGTTCCCTGCCGGACGGATCCTTCCGTCGTCCTCCAAAAGAAAACCGTGCTGGAAGACCCACCTCTGATGCCTCTGCGCTCAGCCAGCACCGCCAACGACAGAGGCAGCTCAAGGCCAGCACCGCGGCTGGGACGTGCTGTGGTCAGCACCAAACGCAGACTTGGGATTCTACTGACTGGAGGCGGCTGACAGGACTTGAGCTGCGCTCTCTGTGCGTGCAGCTGCTGGTGACATCCGGCCACAGGCAGCCACAGTCGGTCAGCCAAGAGGGTGTGTGTGGGCACCGAAGGCCTGGAAATGATTCCCTTACACTTGAAGTCCAGGGAGCGAGTTGTATTCCTTAATCTAAACTTGGGAAAGGTGACCGCCTACCACGTGCTGGCCTGGGCGTCAGCTGGTCAGTGGGCATCCGCACAGTCACTCAGGAGGCCGCCCTCCTGACCATGAGACTGCAGAGCTGGGGATGCTGGCAGCCCTGGGGGTGGCAGTCACGCTCTTGGAACCGCTTAGGGGCCTCCGTCCCTGGCCTCCACCCTGAGCCTACAACTTGCAGTAGGGAGCCATGGAGTCCTGGCTCTCTTACGGATGAAGGATGAAGGGCACCGATTCCAGGTGAGAGGGCGTGGGCTGCTCCCCCAGGTGAGACAGGGTGGGCAGCCCTGGGCTGCTCCCCCAGGTGAGATGGAGGGCTTCTCCCCCAGGTGATATGGGGTGGGCAGCCCTGGGCTTCTCCCCCAGGTGATATGGGGTGGGCAGCCCTGGGCTTCTCTCCCAGGTGAGACAGGGTGGGCTGCTCCCCCAGGTGAGGCAGGGCAGCCCTGGGCTGCTCCCCCAGTTCTCCCCCAGGTGATATGGGGTGGGCAGCCCTGGGCTTCTCCCCCAGGTGATATGGGGTGGGCAGCCCTGGGCTTCTCCCCCAGGTAAGACTGGTGGGCGGCCCTGGGTTGCTCCCCAGGCCTGGACTCACACCCACGGAACCCCGGGCAGACCTGACCCCGCAGGATCCAGCACCCTGGCAGTGGGAGCCCTTACCTCCCGCTGACCACGCTCTGCTTCTCCAGCCCACTGGGCAGAACCACGGTGATGTCGAGGGGGCCGTCCCGCTGTGCCTCCTTCACGGGGACCAGGTTCCGCTGCAGGCTGAGGGCTGAGCCGGGAGGCCGCTGCTGGCCGAGCGCGTCCAGTGGGGCGGGCTTTCCTGGGGGCGGGGGTGCACGGGCCTTCATCTTCTTCCTTGGAAAGACGAGAAAGAAGCGTGGCACTGAGCAGCAGTTTCCCCACTCTCCACACGGTCCATCCCTGGGGCACGTGGGAACACCTTCCGGGCAGTCCGATCTTTTGAAAAGTTGATTTATTTATTTTGAGACACACAGAGGGAGAGACAGAGAGCTGCCACCCACTGGTTCACTCCCCATGAGGGGCTGGGCCAGGGCCAGAGTCTGGACAGGGAACTCCACCCAGGTCTCCGGCATGGGGTGTGGGGGGCAGGGCAGGAACCCCAACACGGAAGCCACCACCGCTGCCTCCCGGGGTCTCCATTAGCAGGAAGCTGGAGTAAGGACGCAGAGCTGGGAATCAAACCCCAGTTTCTGATGGCAAACGGACAGACTATGTAACCACAGACACACAACTACTCCAACCGCCCATCAACAAACCAGGGTTCTACACGCTTTCACCATATGTAACTAGATGTGCAAAAATGCTCAATACAGATTTTTTTAAAAAACAAATAAGTTTCAAAACATGATCTTTCAGGAAAATTTCCATTTTTAAAATTAATGTATTTAGTTTATTTCATTTGAAAAGCAGAGAGAGAGGGGGCTCTCATTTGCAGGCTCACTTCCCAAATGCTACAGGAGCAGCCAGGACTGGAGCAGGCTCAAGCCGGAAGCTGGGAATGGACTGTCTCTCACGTGGGTGGCAGGGACCCAGGACTGGAGTCGTCGCCTGCTGCCTCCCAGGGTGCACATCACCAGGAAGCCGGGTCAGCAGTGGAGGAGCCTGGACATGAACCCCAGGCTCTCCAACAGACGATGCAGGGATGCCAAGCAGTGTCGTAACCATCAAGCCACACACACTTGAAAGAGAGGTCTCTGTTACAGCAACAGGTCATGAGCTTTCTGCCATCGAGACCTGGGGTGACAGGTGGCGGGACAAGCATGAGCGTTCGGCTATCTCCACTCTACGCCTTACCCAGCACGACAGAGCAGCAGCAGCAGCCATGACGCAGAGGCTGTGGACTCACTGCTGCCCGCGCCACTGCCCAACACAGACCTGGGCTCTGTCTTGTCAAAAGCTTTCATGAATGTAATACCTGCAATCCATGCTGTATCCTTACCCACCATCTACTTTCCTTTCAACGTAGACAAGAAGGCACCGGCCTGTGTTTGCTCACTCATCATTCCTCCCTGGGCCACTCTGGGGCCTGCTGGTCATTCTGTCCAGCAGGAAAGGGACACAGAGCTAACCCAGAGTCCAGACAACTTGTGCCAGGCCCCTCCCAGGAAGACGAGATGGCGCCCAGCAGAGACGGAGAGAAACAGCTTAGGCAGTAAAGCTTCATCGGCCAAGCCTGGGGCCAGGGCTCCCCTCAGTGCTTGCAGAGCATAAACTGGGTCCGCTGTACCCCTTCAGGACCAGAACACATCTTCTAAGACAGCTGGCTTTAACTCCACAGCACAGGCAGGCGGGCGGGAAGCAGCCACGGACAAAGCTGTGCGCCCCGCCCGCTGCAACCAAGCCCGGGCAGGGGCGGGAAGGAGAGCTTTTACCTGCCCTGCTCACTCACATAAATGGTCTGTCCAGCCACCCAGAGTCACCCTACCAGGATCTCAGCCGCCCTCCCCCTGTCCATAGTCCCGGCCCACTCGGCCCACACACACCTCAGCGCCGAGGGCTGCAGGAGTGCAGAGCTGCGGCACCGAGCTGTCCCGCCCCAGCCGGGCACCCTCCACGCAGGGCCCCTCACCCCACAGCACCGGCCGCGTGCAGCCCTCGAGGGCCACTCGTCTCACGCCACCCTGCCGCACCCCTGCAGCGCCCACTGGCTGTGGCCCGAACTGCAGCCCGTGAGGGTTGTGTGTGTGTGTGCTGGGGCGGGATGCGCACCTTGAAGCAAGACAGCATTTTAAAAATCAGGCTATTTCATGCTCACAAGATGATTTTTTGGCTCAGTTGGAAACAATGGACAAGGCCCTTTTCTCCGGCACAGCGGAACAGGCAGGGAAGCTGCCTCAGGCCTCAGGCTCAGTCTCTGCCCTGGCGCAGGGCCGGGGACGTCCAGGCACCGAGTCTGAAGATGTGCACAGCAGCCTGTGTGAGCCGCTCCTCAACCCCACCTGCTCGCTGGCGGAACACCCAGCCACCCCCGCCTCCTCGGCCTCCCTGCCCCCGCCTTCCTGTGTGGCTCCCTGCAAGGCCGTGTCTCCTGGAATCCCAGCTGCACACAGTGATGGAGACCGGTGACGGCTAGGTCACCTGGACGCCGGCTGGAAGCACCAGGGGCTGAGATGCCTCCCAGGATGTCGCACCGAACACCCGAGTTGGCTTACACCCGAGGAGCACACTGTCCCCAGAGAAGGGGGCCCTTCCAAACGCAAGGCGGCCCGTGGCTGGTGCTACAATGTTGCATCGCTTCATGAAATCAACTGGTGTGCGAGGCGGGTCCGTATTTAGCATACATCGATAGACATGCATGCTGTGTTCTCAGAGAATGACAGCTGCATGTTGGGAGGCACCATGGAAACATCTACGGTGCACGTGGGTCAAGGACGCCCTCGACGGCTCTGTGCCGGTGATGTGGCGACTTCAGGCTGAGAAACACTGCTGAGCCCACGTCCTGGGCCTGGACGTGACCACTGCTGTGGATCTCCCCACGGAGGGCGGAGGGGACCCACGTCCTGGACCTGGACGTGGATCTCCCCACGGAGGGCAGAGGGGACCCACGTCCTGGACCTGGACGTGGATCTCCCCACGGAGGGCGGAGGGGACCCACGTCCTGGGCCTGGACGTGACCACTGCTGTGGATCTCCCCACGGAGGGTGGTGGGGACCCACGTCCTGGACCTGGACGTGGATCTCCCCACGGAGGGTGGTGGGGACCCACGTCCTGGACCTGGACGTGGATCTCCCCACGGAGGGCGGAGGGGACCCACATCCTGGACCTGGACATGACCACTGCTGTGGATCTCCCCACGGAGGGTGGTGGGGACCCACGTCCTGGGCCTGGACATGACCACTGCTGTAGATCTCCCCACGGAGGGTGGAGGGGACCCGCGTCCTGGACCTGGACGTGGATCTCCCCACGGAGGGTAGAGGGGACCCGTGTCCGGGCCATCGTCCACTCCTCCAGAAGCCGCAGGTGCTGCATTCCAACCTGGAGCCCTGCCTTTTCATATTTCCAGGTGTGGGCTGAGTCTCCCCACCCCAACGCTCGGGTTAGAAGTGGTTCGAGTTTCGGGGGTTTTGGACTCCGGAGTATCTGCGTGTACTAATTTAGGTATCTTGGGGCTGGGACCCAAGTCGCAACAGAAAATCCATTTGTGGTTCACATAAACATCACATCTCCTGGGGGTGAGGCCACACCGTGTCTGCAGTAACTGTGTGTGTGCACAGAGTGTCGAGGGTGAGGCCACACCGTGTCTGCAGTAACTGTGTGTGTGCACAGAGTGTCGGGGGTGAGGCCACACCGTGTCTGCAGTAACTGTGTGTGTGCACAGAGTGTCGGGGGTGAGGCCACACCGTGTCTGCAGTACCTGTGTGTGTGCACAGAGTGTCGGGGGTGAGGCCACACCGTGTCTGCAGTAACTGTGTGTGCACAGAGTGTCGGGGGTGAGGCCACACCGTGTCTGCAGTAACTGTGTGTGCACAGAGTGTCGGGGGTGAGGCCACACCGTGTCTGCAGTAACTGTGTGTGCACAGAGTGTCGGGGGTGAGGCCACACCGTGTCTGCAGTAACTGTGTGTGTGCACAGAGTGTCGGGGGTGAGGCCACAGCGTGTCTGCAGGAACTGTGTGTGCACAGAGTGTCGGGTGTGAGGCCACACCGTGTCTGCAGTAACTATGTGTGCACAGAGTGTCGGGTGTGAGGCCACACCGTGTCTGCAGTAACTGTGTGTGTGCACAGAGTGTTGGGGGTGAGGTCACACCATGTCTGCAGTAACTGTGTGTGTGCACAGAGTGTCGGGGGTGAGGCCACACCGTGTCTGCAGTAACTGTGTGTGTGCACAGAGTGTCGGGGGTGAGGCCACACCGTGTCTGCAGTAATTGTGTGTGCACAGAGCGTCGGGGGTGAGGCCACACCGTGTCTGCAGTAACTGTGTGTGTGCACACAGTGTCGGGGGTGAGGCCACACCGTGTCTGCAGTAACTGTGTGTGTGCACAGAGTGTCGGGGGTGAGGCCACACCGTGTCTGCAGTAACTGTGTGTGTGCACAGAGTGTCGGGGGTGAGGTCACACCATGTCTGCAGTAACTGTGTGTGCACAGAGTGTCGGGGGTGAGGCCACACCGTGTCTGCAGTAACTGTGTGTGTGCACAGAGTGTCGGGGGTGAGGCCACACCGTGTCTGCAGTAACTGTGTGTGTGCACAGAGTGTCGGGGGTGAGGCCACAGCGTGTCTGCAGTAACTGTGTGTGCACAGAGTGTCGGGGGTGAGGCCACACCGTGTCTGCAGTAACTGTGTGTGTGCACAGAGTGTCAGGGGTGAGGCCACACCATGTCTGCAGTAACTGTGTGTGTGCACAGAGTGTCGGGTGTGAGGCCACACCGTGTCTGCAGTAACTGTGTGTGTGCACAGAGTGTCGGGGGTGAGGCCACACCGTGTCTGCAGTAACTGTGTGTGTGCACAGAGCGTCGGGGGTGAGGCCACACCGTGTCTGCAGTAACTGTGTGTGTGCACAGAGTGTTGGGGGTGAGGTCACACCATGTCTGCAGTAACTGTGTGTGTGCACAGAGTGTCGGGGGTGAGGCCACACCGTGTCTGCAGTAACTGTGTGTGCACAGAGTGTCGGGGGTGAGGCCACACCGTGTCTGCAGTAACTGTGTGTGTGCACAGAGTGTTGGGGGTGAGGTCACACCATGTCTGCAGTAACTGTGTGTGTGCACAGAGTGTCGGGGGTGAGGCCACACCGTGTCTGCAGTAACTGTGTGTGTGCACAGAGTGTCGGGGGTGAGGCCACACCGTGTCTGCAGTAACTGTGTGTGTGCACAGAGCGTCGGGGGTGAGGCCACACCGTG